GAAATATACAGTGCTCTAACTGAGTTATATATGGAAAGATATATGTATATACGCATATATGCTAGATGTTTTCTCACCACATCTACTGTAAATCAAGTGAATGCTTCTCCTGTGCATTAGCTGTTAAACCTTCCTTGAGACTTGAGACCAAAGGGACTATCAGGATACACCATCAAAAGGCTTCACTGCGCTCGTCAACTCCCCATTTTCACAGTCTATAAACGTGCTCAAAGCACTTAGACCTTTCCCTCTCCTCTGAAAGACTCTTCAGCTTGCTGCTGAAACCAAAGCGTATATATTTATACCGTTTTCCGGTGCTCGTCACAGTCGACACACCTAAAGTTGACACAAACGGGCCTGGCCATCCACCCATGTAACTCTTGAGTGCGATGGAGAGGAAAATTATTGGGAGGACCGAGACTGAAAGCATTTTTATCAGACAGAGCCACACTTGTTCTCTGCAGTTTACATAACCTCGGAACTCCCATTAAAGCTAGACACTTCATAATAACGGCCGAATCGCGCAGGTGCACTGAAGTGCGAGGGCTGGATGACTATGAAACTCATAAAATAACAATTCAAATGAGCTCCCCATAATTCAATGTAGTTTCGCCAGTGGCTGTGCCTGGTGAGCTGATAGGATTATAGTTTCTCTAAGTGACAGAATACATTTTTTCCAATCACTGTACTTTTTCAGAAATATACTGAACCTAAACTGCACATAGACCATTCTGGAAATGTGCACGTGTTACGTCGCGATTCAACCCAAGAGAGTAGAACTTAACAGATTGCAAGCGTTGGTGGAATAGGAGGAAACTGGCACCAACCCTCAGGATACGACCGCCAAGAGCGAAACAAATCAAGCACGACAAAAGACAACACAACAAAGAAATCTGGCACTGTTTATAGCAAATGAAAAATGTAGCTACTTCACAGTCCAGAGCTCATCTTAAAGCGACCGCCTTCAACACAAGTGTTGCAAAGACGTCTCTAGTTTATTCGTTACTGTCATTAGGTGCTAATAACATTAAACACCTTTTGTCTGGATTACTGGATGAATTTGTGGTGTGGGAATGCGCACACTGTGCAATACAATTTCTCCTAGTCAGTATATAAAAGTTAAACTGGACCCGCGTGAGACTTGTAATTCACCGCAAACTGGTTTCACACGCCTTCTACAAGGATGCTTTCTCTTGTGCAACAGTGACACTGCACCGTACACAACATCAACAATGTTCAGGAAAGTTCCGACAGCATAGTTACTACCTATTTAAAGTTATTTCATAAAGCCGCAGCCACATGGGTAATAAATCGCATCACTCACTTGGTGACTGAGGATAGTTTGATGCACCAGCCGGGCATAGTTGTCAAGTTTGACCCCGGAGTTGCTGCGGCTCCTCATGTCGCTCGTCCTCTCTTGACCGAACTTCAATTCTCGGTGTTCGCAGACATCGTTTTTCACTTGTCACAGTGCGCTAAAATGTTGCAAGGCACGATAACACAAGACCGCCAACTTAAAAAAGGAAGGAAATGTCAACACAGTAACATTCAACATGAAGTTCATAGCACTTATAGTTCACACGACCTCTCAAACGTTTTGAAAATGGGGCGATTGTTTCACTGTTTCCATGGAAGTTAAAACTGAATTTCTGAATAAACAGTGAGAAAACATAGGCTAGATATGTGCTCACAATGGCTAAAAACAAGCTCAGCAGAATACACTACGAACTACTTTGAACACGAAGTCCACTCGTGAGTTTTCAACCATATAGCCTACGTGCTCGATTTTAAGCAGACTATAGAGCTAAAATGAACGGATCAACGGATCGGAATTAGGACTCGGACAATTACCTCTGACACGCAAAAAACACTCTTCAGTCCATAGGTTCCCTTCCTCCTCCACTGTGCTCTCCAGCTCTGCAACCTCAAACACAAATTGACAACTCACAGATCCTCAAATAATTGAACACATAAAACTACTTATATACGTAGAATAAAACCCAAAGCTGATTTAGAAACCGTAATATGATGTTTCATGCAAAGTTAAACACATTAATATATATTTACATCGCTAAAATAAAGTATGTCGTTGGCAGCATGCTAACTAGAGTATTACGTTTTTAAGTTACTTTCAGGACACTGGGAGAGTCATTATGCAGTGAGGTCACTCAAACACGTGTAATTGGTGCATATCGTAAAACATCTCCGGTGACAGAATTCGTCGCTTTCCAAAACCTTGTTCCTGGAAAAGTTCCAGATATGTTTGAATGAAAATATCGACTTACCGGTTTCCGATGCGTCCTGTGTCTATTTTAGAAGAAGAAGAGGAGGTGGAGGAGCAGAGTGACTTAATGAAACCTATTGTTTTGTAAACTTACTAAGTATTTCCATGTACGTTTATTTCTTATAATTTTAAAAACTTAAACACAATCATTGTGTAATAATTTATTAAACAGTAACTTACGTTTTGATCGATACAAAACAGAGGAAAGTATCAGACTATAACTACAAAACAAATTTTCTATGAAAATCGGGTTGACAGTGAAACATAAACTTAGCAAGCTACTTGAAAGTATAACTCTTGACCTAATCTGTTACCAGGTAATTGGTCCATGATTTACACTCAGGAATACTTAAACTGTATCTATTACAAATGCTTCTAAACATAAAATACTTTCTACATGTATTGTTATACTCTCTTCCGCTAGATGGCAACACAAGAACACATCGATGACATTTCTAATGGAACGTACGTGTGGCGCGTCTGGCACATTGCTCGTGAAGTCAAACACGTACATGTGTGCATACTTAGCAGGAAGCTTGCACAAACATGCGTAAAGCACTCATAAATAAATCTCACACATATGTATAAATTATTAACAAACATGCTTTCAAAATATTGACACATCTCATATTCTCCCACACAGCATTTTCTTTGCATGTTAAAATGGTAAACCAAAGAGCCAGGTCACTATAAGGACAGAGGAAACATTTGGCACCGTTGATACGGAATAGTGAAGTCAGCTCCAAGTAACCCTCATATTGACATTACAGAGTGAGAGAGCTACATTTGCAACTGTGCGTGTAAATACTTATGGTCTGGACCTCTGACTATCTTGGCCTTTTTTTAACACTGAAACCGTCAAAAACTTGTGGGCCATTTCCTGTCCCCTTTGTAGGTGTTTTCACAGGAGCAATTTACAGGGCAGCTTTATTAATTCATAACATGCCAAAATGAATGTCAGAGAGGCTTACGCTCTACACAGGTAGAGCGTGACCAGTTTGCACACAGACCCACCCACTGTGATCCCCACTGATGGCTAATTTTACACTCACAGCTTACACTGCACAATCCTAAATCCTTTCACTGGGCTTCCCTTGAGGCCCTGACACCTGGGTGAGGGACCCCCCACCTCTCTCCCACTGGGCACAGAGCAAAGCCTCACAGTCCCCACATAGAAATGCTGCCGGTTCAGAAGCACCATCAATAAACATGTCCAAACACCTCTGGTCCCTTTCATCTGTCACCCTTTTTGATAGCAGCAGCCTGCTGCATCATTAGATCCTCGCCGCCAACCCAACTGTTCCTACCATTTCAACAGGTAAATCTTCAGCTCTGGACTCTCAGCTTTCCCCAGCGTTTCTATCACTCACTTTCTCACACACACACACTAACCGCCATCAAAAAAGAAATCATCCTTTATCTGGAGGGGAGGCAGCACTCTGGCACTGTGCACTACACACTCCTCGCTAGTTTTTGCTTGTGTCACCTCACTTATAAGTCGCTTTGGATAAAAGTGTCTGCCAAATGGATAAATGTAAATGTAAATGTCATCAGGTCTCCGCTGGCTCCACCGTTGGCTGGATTTCTCTAGTCCACCTCTCTGCCATCCACCTCCATACAGTGTGCAGTACAGTAGAGTTTGGCATGTGCTGTACAGTAGAATATGTTTTCATGACTGAAGCGCATCTGTGTTTCAGCAGCAATACCATAAAATGCAGACAGGCATGCACCAGCAAAGAAAAAAAAGGGACCGCTCATTTTCCCAACAGTACAGGTTAGGGACCCAACAGCCCCTAATACGAATATGCACATTTAAGGTGTATATTTTGGGGAAATGCCAAACCTTTATTGTTCAGGCCTGTGTGGTGTTGACCTTGCATTCGAAAGATAAGAACAACAAAACTTTAGCGCCACCTTGTGTACTTGAATGTTGATTCCGTACTCCCTGTGGAGAATAAAAAGATTCAGAAGCAAGTCAGTAGGAGGCGTGTTGGTCCTGTCAACTCTGCTGGTAATTAGTGCCAAAGTGTTGCCAGAGCAAGGTCAAATGAGGTTGCCTGGTTGGTTTACAGAGGTCTTTTGCTACTGTTTTTTTCCCATGTCAACATGGCGTTCAGTATTTCAAAGATAAAGATTGTGTCCAAAGATCCTCTTCATGTTTGATTATGAGATCTCAGCAGACGAGGTTCATTTTGCTTTGTTAGTTCTCTGCTCCATGCAAATGAGACATCCTGTTTATCACCAGCAGATTGTGTTGCTGTACAGCGTAAATACCACAAAAGGTGAGAATTAGCATGTGCAACTTTTGCCAGCGAACCACAGAGTCCAGCAGATCTTAAATTTCAGACATTAATTTGGCAGCCCTGAACAGGCATGTTCTGTGTGACATCACTCCTAAATGATTGCGAGTCCAAGTAAAAGTGCTCTATTACCATGTGGGCTTAAACCACCAACCTATTGGTTATTAACCAAGCGTGCTGGCTAATGGCACCACAGAGACCTATGTTTATGCATAAACCCAGCTTTTCTCCCATGTAAAATAAGTAATGATCATTGTGGATAATGTCGGTGGATGTCATTCTATAGGCCTTTTAGAAGTTTCAGAGAAGAGACTAACCTTTTTTATATGGTAAAATCTCCTCTTCTCCTTTGGAGAGATTGCTTTTTACCTAACTCTTACACATTTCATTTTTTAACACCATGAGAAACAATAACATGACTCTGGTGGGACTTGAACCCACAACCTTTGAATGACTCTATGGCTTTGTCTAGAAGTCCAATGTGCTATCCATTGCACCACAGAGCCAGACAACAGTCATTTTGCTTTATAACAAGACATGTTTGTGGTAGCCACTTTGTTTTATGAAGATCTAAACTTCTTGAATCTGTGATAAATAAAGCTTCTAATTTTGCTGTATACATCTGGATGAAGTCTGGGATAACCTCACAAATTAAAGGCCAGTCAAATCAGGGCAGACTATAGGTGTATAGATGAAGGCAAAGAAAACCTTCCCCATCTAACCATGTGAGCTGAAAGTGCAGAATCAGCAGTCCGTAGACAACTTCCCTCAGTCAGAAATGTGGAATCAGGGTTGGCTGCTGGCAGCGACTCTTTAATCACTGACGCAATCAGAGAATGAGGGTGTGACTTGGCCCCATGGGATCACACATGAAATATGGGCTGTTACAGAAGAAGTACAGGCGGGGGTTTACAGCATTCCATATTGAAAAATGGTAAGGGAAGCATCCATGAATTATTCTAAAAATCAACTGAGGCATAATTAAATTTCAAGGGCTAGTAGTTTGGAGTGACTCAGCTGAGAAGGTGCTCATTTTGAATGCAGGCTGAACCCTACATCTCGAAACTGGCTGTCTCATTTGCAGACAATGACTGGGACAGAGGCTAACAAATTGACTTTGTTCCACCAGGGACAGAGGTGGGCGGGTCAGCCAGGGTTTCCTCGTCTCACTGCCCTCAGACACCCTGTGATTTGTGTGTGTGTGTGTGTGTGTGTGTGTGTGTGTGTGTGTGTGTGTGTGTGTGTGTGTGTGTGTGTGTGTGTGTGTGTGTGTGTGTGTGTGTGTGTGTGTGTGTGGTTAACACAGCACATCGAAATAATGAACAGTTAAAGTTCTGTTAACTCATAAGAGGAATTGAACACTCCACTCAACAACCACAAGAGGGCATTGTTACACATGTCATACATGAGCAGAACAGTTTATGGGGTGAAATCCGTGCCCAATTTAACTGAATTTGTATTATTGAATATATTAAGTGAATCGGAAACTGATCAAACCCCATCAAACAGGTTAAGGTACAATTTACAGAAATTAAATACAACTTAAAAGATAAGTTATATTCAACAATTCAAGTTACAGAGTAAATTCCCTTTTTATGGCACTGATACCACTTCGTAGCAGTTAGCCTATACCTAACACAGTATAGAAGGCACAACAGCACGTCATCGCTGTGCAAGCGATGTGCAAAAGCTGTGCAAGCAGTTGAAAAATAAATTCACCGATATCACTTCAGGTCCGTATCTGGCTGTTCTTCTTCATAATTTAATGAGATATCGGAGCCTTGTAAATATAGGAAACGGGAGAAAAGTTTCTCAACGTAACAGTTTGGACCCTGCTAAACTGTCGACATTATGCGAGATAAGAAAAAAGTAGCATCTACGGCATGCATCACGTTGTTAAAAATCCGTTTCAATGTGTCGGTGCTAAAATGGCTCGGGGGGAAGGTAATGTCTCCTATAGCTGTCCTTCTGAGGAAGTCAACGTTTATCATCCTTCCCAACAGGAGAATATGCGACTGAAAAGAATGCGACAAAGCAGAAAACAAGTGCGAAAATAGCAACAGACGCTTTCACAAACATTCATACCCTTGAAATTGAAACGACTTCTTTGTTTTACACACAGGTCAAACAAGATAAAGAATATAGCGGGTGTTAGAAAGAGAAGGTTATTTCAATGTACACAAACGGCTGTGGACGGAGATATGCCACCGCAAAACTCAGTCAGACAGCAGTGTCAGGAATGGAAACTAAAGGAAAACCTTGACATGCCATAAAGAGAGAGCAACGCCAATTCAGTAAATTGAATTTCTTCCTGTGATTGGTTTTCCCTCTCAGAGCAGAACCTAAGCAGAAGAATTTGCTCATAGCAGTAAAGTCACAGAGCATTGATCATTTCCCTTTGTGCTATATGTTAATGCAGACTCGAAAAATGTTGAGGACGTCAATAAGGTCTATCAAAGACGTGCCACAACTTCAGTTTCCAAAGAAAGAAATCATATAAGTTAATGGAACATGTGCAGCAGTACTCCTCTACAGCATTATAATGGTTTGTCACGTGCGTGCAGTCGCATGAACACTCTCCGTGAGACAATGACCACGGATGTGACCCATTTTCTATCCTTCATTAAACACCTGTTCAGTATTATTTATCATGATTGTAATGGTTGCTTTTCAGGCACCTTCCAACAAGGCAAGTTCAGGCATTGCTCACATGCATACACACACACACACACACACACACCCCACGGTGTAGCTGGACATGATGTCCACTCCAAGGGGGGGAAGTCTCTCTGGTCTTTTTTTCTAACACTGCGGTGAGGGCAAGGACAGCAGTGTAAACCCTGGAGGCTCTACCATGCCGGACGGAGAAGGCCTTCAGCTTGTGAGCCTTGTGAACTATCCTCTGCATCTTGCCCATGATGCCCGGGGACTTGCTGGCGGTGTTGGACAGTCCATTGCACTCACTGCCCGGCCTGCAGAGAACGTCCCCTGCAGCCCTGGTCCCCTTAGCTCTGCACCTTAGTGGGAAGATGGTGTACTTTTCCTTCTCCAGTGCTTGCTGCCAGAGTTCTGGTTCCTGGGTTCACAGCCAGCTCTGGATAGAACATCTGTTCCGACAAGAAAACACTCCTGAACGAGGCTGGTTGTCTCTCTGTGTTTTATGGTCAACACGTCACACCCCACAAACTCCAGGGAGGCAAACTGTATGAGCACACACTCTTCATTCTTGCACGCACATACACACACACACACAGACACACTGATGCACACACTTTTTAGAAGAGAATTTCTGTGGTGGAGCACTGCCAGTGTGTTAGTTGCGTAAGCTTGCAGAGGAGACCGTTGGGAATTATAGGCCAATTTATGATGAGTGGGATCAACCTTTAGAATTAGTTGGGGGTTCTTTTAATGCAAACCAGGTCTGTATGGCAGGCTTTGACATTTTGATTCATTTGCATTCCTGGACCCACTATAGAGAGAAAGAGACCATCGCTGACACTCATTTTGCAATTTTCTGTGAGCTGGTATGCCAAAGGTTTGATTTGTGAGGTTCTGTGGTCCTTATGGACTGTTGAAGAGTATCAACAGAACAGAGCAATGTTTGCCTTGCAAAAAAAGACTGTAAAATTACTGTTTTTTTTCTCATGGTGGAGGCACGAAAGAAATGAGCGAAAGCAAAATGACTTCTGCATGCTCCGTTGGTTTGTGAAATGTGTTTTGACAATACAGCCTTCCTCAGGGAGCAAGTATATCCTGGAAAGTATAGATGCTATACCACTTCTGCCTGGCCTCGTTCTGAGTTCATTAATCAGTGATGGGAGCCAGAGAGTCCCAAGCCTCACATCAGACCTTTGGGACTGCATGTACATGTTTAAAACTCACACCACGACCCTTTTTATCAAAAGCCCCACAAAATAATGACCATCAGCATTATCCCAGGTAGTGTCCCAGTTAGAACTGTTTGAACACGCAGAGCTACGCGGTTCACTTGGCCAGCCCGTGGTGGACAAAAGGTCACCTTTATCTCTTTTTCTGGTGTTGAACAAATGATGTGATAAAGGTCAATTTACCACATCACTGTCTGAATTCTGGGCCTGTAACCCTTCACAGACACAGAGGTCGTCCCAAATGAAAATCAGCTGTTGGAATATTTTCTTCCAAGAGTGTCTAACTCACATTCGCTCATGTTCACTCAACTACACTCATGTTCTGGTTTGCAGCTAACTGTGTTGTCAACAGTGTTGATGGATTTTTCAATGCCAGGACATTTCTGCTTTTCCTTTTCTTTTTTGTTTTGCTTTTTGTTATTTGTGGGGTGTGAATACGTGCACAGATGCAATGGTGTTGAAATGATAACACACAAAACTTTCCGGAAAATAACTTTATTATTGTGAAAATGTCAAACTTGGATTTACATTTTTTTTTAATTCAACAAAGAGCATGCAATGTGCATGGGTTAAGCCACAGTACAAAGATGGTAAATTTTTTACAGTACAGTCTTACAGAAACATCTAAGCTAAACACATCAGAGATGGCATCACAGAACACATCTGTACACTTTGGCAATCCAATGTGTCTTCAACCCAGGGCAAATCAAGGAATAATGTGCCATCCATTCTAATACTTCTTCCTTCTAAAAAGCATAAACTCGCCAAACTCACCAATGACTTCAAATCAAACTGTGAACACACAGGTTATTACCTGTATCACCCGGGAGCTGTTGCACACAATGTCCAGTTCATAAATATGAAATGTGCAAGTAAAATGTGACATAGGAACACCAAGAGTAGAAATGAGACAAATAAGTAAAATAGGGCTTTGTGTGATTATGAACTGAAACAAAATTGTATTTGTTCCGCACTTATGAGACTCGAGAACAGTAGAGGATGAGTCATTTGAAGATACACTTCACGCACCTGAGTATTTGATAGCATTAAAACAGACAAGTTCATATATTAGATAAATAGGCACCCAGTTAAACAGCTTAAATACAAAAATAAATGTGTGTGCAAATGTATAAAACATTAGAGGACCTGTTAAAATATTGCCAGAGACCCTTGTCCTTTTATGTTCACTCCACGTCCATCTGTGGTTCAATGACATTGACTTTGATCGGTTCTCTCTGCTCACATTGCCCGAAAGCTCACGTTCGGTTCCAGAGACCGTTCCAGTTACATCAGCAAAGAAACCATGCCTCACAAGCTGTGCACTCTCAGCACCTTATGAAGTACGATTCTGTTTATGCGCTGTGAATAACACCGGTGTCGGAGGGACTAGGCACACCAGCGGAGAGGAATGCAATAAGTTATCACAGAAAAATGCTTTGGCATTGGAGAGAGAGCTGGCTCACCCTGATTCCAACTACAATTATGGTCTTTCCATGCTCAGTTGTTTTGGAAGAGACTGAAAATTTATGTCAAACAGTAGCTATAAACCATATCTTAAAGCCCTCAGCTGTTAGACACGCTGGTTTCCTTTAAACATGTCTTTTTGAAAGAGGAAAAAA